GAGAGAGAGAGAGAGAGAGAGAGAGAGAGAGAGAGAGAGAGAGTAAGAGAGATTCGTATCGTTGCCCAGCGTGAAATTACAGATTACGAGTTTCTTTTGCTCTCTCTCTCTCTCTCTCTCTCTCTCTTTCTCTTTCTATCTCTCTCTCTCTCTCTCTCTCTCTCTTTCTCTGTCGCTTTCTCTCGTGCTCTCTCTCGTACTATCTTCCGATCTTTCTTGCACTTTCTTTCTCGCTCTCTTTTGATCTCTTCTCGTTTTTGCGAGAGAGCGAAAGAGCAAATAAAAGAGAGAATGAGATTTGTACACACACACACACACATTCTCTCTCTCTCTCTCTTTCTCTCTCTCTCTCTCTCTTCTGATATCTTTCTGGATCTTCAGACTGGTTACAGGCATTCCGTAATTTTTGGAGACTTTAATGTGGACATGTCCGTGGTTAGCTATGAAAGCAGTAAATTGTCGCAGTTCATTGAGTCATCTGGCTTGTATTTGGTTCCTTACCAAAAAACTCATCATCTGAAAAACTCAAGTTCTTTTCTTGACTTATGTATCGTAGATGACTCTGAGAAGGTTGCAGGGTATGGTCAACACAGTGTGTCTTTCTTGTCGGCCCATGATCTGGTCTACATATATTACAAAATTGGAGTAGAGCGTGGATGTCGTAGAGAGGTTCTTTGCCGCGACTTCAGAAATTTTAAGGAAGCTGAATTTTATTCGGACCTACAAGCCAAAGACTGGGAGCAACTAAGAATTTCAGATTCCATAGATGAAAAAGTAGACATGCTGAATGACTATATATTGCAATGTTTAAATAAGCATGCACCTGTACAGCAAAGAACTTTTAAAAATTTTCCTGCGCCGTAGCTGACTGGGGACATTAAAGCCGCAATGAGAAGCAGAGATAGAGTGCGCAGAAGATGGCGGAGGACTGGAAATAATGATGACTATGCTGCCTTCAAGAAGCTGAGAAATCAAGTGCAAGATCAGGTTCGAGCTGCTAAAGCACGCTATTATCTTCGGATATTTGATTCGGCGCAGAATCCAAACACTGTGTGGAGTCACTTGAAACATCTAGGGCTTGTAAAGACCAAAGATATCGGCAGGCGGCTAGTGTACTCGGTTGAGGAGTTAAACAACTTTTTCGTGCAAGTTGCTGGAACCACTAGTACTGATGTACCATATGTGTTTCAGATAAATGATTTTGATGACAGCAGATTTTATTGGAAGTATATCTCTCCGCAAGCAATACAAAAGACAGTGTCTAGAATAAAGACCAATGCCACAGGATGCTACGGAATCTCTTTGAAAATGTTTCATCTAACAATGTTGTACATTATGCCTGTTATGGAACATATTTTTGATTTTTCTTTATCTCATGGCATCTTTCCAAATATATGGAAGAAGGCAGTAGTATGTCCTATACCAAAGATCAGCACTCCGACAGCTTTACAGCACTATCGGCCAATTGCTATCCTTCCTGTGATGTCAAAAATTTTGGAGCGAATAGTATGTGATCAGATACAGGAATTTTTGGAAGAATGATCTTTTTAATCCCTACCAATCGGCGTATAGAAAAGGTCGTTCTACACAAACTGGCATTATAAGGGTACTTGATGACATGAGGCTAGCGGCGGATAAGAGAATGGTTATTGTTTCTGTCTTATTTGATCTGTCTAAGGCATTTGACAGAGTTCATCATCCAACACTTTTGAGGAAGCTAGAAGATAACAAATTTTCCACTTTGCCACTTCGTTGGATTGCTTCGTATTTGGAAGGTAGACAGCAGGTAACTAAGGATCCAGTTGATCCAGTTTGATCGCGTTATCTCCTCTTCTGCTGTTGTCGACACTGGTGTCCCGCAGGGCTCTGTTTTAGGACCATTACTTTTTATTCTTTATATTTCTGATTTCTCTGAAGTCCTCTCTCATTGCAAATACAGCTTTTACGCTGATGATTTGTTGATCTACTTGCATTGTGAACCTCGTGCACTGCGGGATGGCATTGCTTGCGTTAACAGTGAAATTTGCAAAATAAGTTCATGGGCAACGCTAAATAAACTTCTTTTAAACCGTGAAAAAACGCAGGCCATTATTACTGGCTCTAGTAGATATATAAATGCCATTGACTTTGCGACTTTGCCTAATATTGTGGTGGATGATGTTGTCATACAATATTCGTCTGCTGTTAAATATTTAGGAATAACTATTGCTAGTGCGCTCTCATGGGACAAGCATGTCAACAATACAACGAACAAAATTAGAAGAACTTTGTATGAACTAAAGCTGTGTAAAAATCTAATGCCGCAAACTCTGAAACAATCGCTGGTAATGAGTCTCATATATCCGCACTTGGACTATTGCTGTAATGCGCTAACGGACATTTCAGTCAGTCACAATTTAAGACTGCACAGAGCAATTAATACATGCATAAGATTTATCTTTGGCATTAGAAGAGATGAGCGCAGAACACCATATTATAATTCTCTTAAATGGTTAAAATCAAACTACAAAAGAATTTATTTTGTTGGATGTCTGACTTACTGCATTCTATCGACGCAGTGCCCTCGAACTTTGTTTGATAATTTTCAAATGAGGAATACCATCTCTAATAAACGGACCAGAGCAGATAATGATCTGCTTGTCGTACCGTATTGTCGAACCAAGATCTACAAACGGTCTTTCACATGTACTGCGGTAGACACATGGAATAGTTTACCATTGCATATTCGGACAGCTGACACAGTAAGCAATTTTAAAGATAAACTCTATGCTTACTTGTTGGAGCGCGCGCGTAAAAACTGAGCTGTAGTTACATTTGCGCTTATCTTTTTTTTTCTTAACTTTTTTTCTTAATTAAATATTTTTCTTTTTCTTTGGTATTTTCTTTTATATTTTATATTTTATTTTCTTTTATTTTCTTTATATATTTTATATTTATGAATCTTTATGTTTATTTTTTGTTTGTGTACATATTAGGAGTATAAATAAGTTTCCGTTGTTTGACAAAAGATGGTCTCAATAGTATGTTATTGTTAAAATTGTCAGCTGTAAAACGTCATATCGTAGGATTGGACATCTGCTAACAACATAACCTT